TAAAAATGTAAAATTATGTAAATGTCTCCGAGTGACGGAACAACTCAGAGTCCAGCCGTTCCTTCGAACTATTTGCAGCGACGATAATTGTAGAAGAAAATTTTTCCAGTTTAGTCTCACGTTCTTCCGGATTTGTCGCGAAAGAAGTTTTCTTCGTTTTCTTCCGCGACAGAAATTCGTATCGAAGATGAGTAGAAAGCTAGGATTTGATGGAGGGAACGGGGAGTGAAATGCAGGCATAAAAAATTCTGTCGTTCTATTGCCAGTTCCGTTTCCAGAACGAGTTCTCGTCGCAACGTCCTAAAGCAACAGAGGGGCACGAGAAAGTGGTCAGGATAAAGGTAGTCGAAGGATTCTACAGTCTACATTCGTCGTAGGTTCTACGACCCAACTGGCATTCTTTCACCTCGCACAGAAGCTTTTTATCCCCCGTTTCGAGAAACGAGTTCCTTTCCAAATCGTTGGAAAAAAGAGACGACTGGAAGAGAAGATTATTAAATTGCTGGAAGAAATAATTCGGAACGATGAGTAACGTGACCGTGTTCTCGAGAAATAAACACCGTCACGGAGGGAAAACAAAATTTCTCTTGAACGCACACACAGACATACCGCGATAAGATTATCGTATCGAAGATTTTTTGATACATTCGAAACGCAGCGGAGTGCCATTCAAAGAACTCATCGGTCTACATCTGGAGCTGATGTCACCGGTGTACATAAATCAAACGAGCCTCGGTCACGCGGTAGAGAATTAACAAAGCTGCTTTTATGAAAAAACCAGTCCTTCGAAAATCTAATTGCCTGCGTAGAAACTTGAAACCAACTGCTACAGTTTAACTATAAATTTTCTGTATCGTTCATTCATGTTTTTAATACGTTTGTACTACTTTCCTATCTCTTGTCCGATCGACCTTCGTCGCCAACGTAAAAATAATTTTCCTTGAAAATTTTTCAAGTCTACGACGTAACGTCCTTTTCGAAGAATCTCTCTGCTGATACTCCATTTGTAAAACTCTCGTGGCGGATCCTCAGCGATACCAACGATGAAACAGTAGCGATGGTACCGGTACCATTGTTACACCATAGTCTATACACCACCGTGGTACACGTTCCAGGGAGAAGATTTTCGGCACGAAAGCGGCTCGAGGAATTCGTCAGAGACGGCGGCGCCTGACGTCATCTTCGTGCCAGACTGGAGAACGGAGGTCACGTGTCGCGGCGTCAGACGAAAACTCAATACCCACGGCGGCCAATAAGCGTCGAAAGGACTCTCGCCGATCGGCACACGGTCCCGAGGCGCGTCAGTCGAGCCGCAACCATCGAACAGTGAACGTCGTGATACACGGCTGGTCGTGACGATCGAAATCGTTGTTGGTCCGTGCGTTTCTTCTCTTCATTTCTTTTGTTTTTATAGTGAAACGCGAGGGTGAAGCAAAATGGCTAGCAACAGGGCTACCAAGTCCGGATTCGCGGCTGAAGCACAGAGAAAGGTGAGTGACAGGATGTTTTACAGTTTTTCCTCTAGTTTTTTTTTTATTTTCGTTCGTGACCCAGTGAGAGACCATCCCTCGAGGAACTCGACCTACTGAGGGTGGCCGCGCATGCGCAGTGCACGGGCGTTCGTTGCACCCGAGCTGTTGCAACTTGATGGGTGAATTGTGGTTCCGATGAATAAGCAATCGTTTCGTATCATCGATCGTTGTGATTTCGTAGGATTTCTTTCGGTAGTTTTAGGATTCTATTTTCATGTACTTTTATAGGGGTTCCAGCGAAGTAAAACGAAGTTATTGCTTCTTCTTTTGGGGATAGTTTTATTATTGATTTGTTTGGGACTTGTAATCTTTCGTCTTTCGTTGGTCTTTTATTCGTGAAATCGAGGAAGGAAACACTAGGACAATTCACACTGTTTATCCTGGATCTGCGTGTACGTGCCGGACTGACGCGTCTCTAGATTACGACGCTCCTGTCAAAGATATTCTACGACGCTTATCGAAGTGTAATCCAATAAGTAATTAGAATGCGAGGCGTGAAAGAACGTGACCGGCCACAGGAAGATCGTGACGCGATTTCTGTACACGAAAACATTGCTTCCAGCGGCGAATTAATTAATTTGGCCTCCGGTTTATCACCTTGAGAGCCAATTCTTCCGTGGAATTTTTCGTAGGAACTACGTTCTATTTACATACGACTTACTACATAACCATGTTCCTTCGTTTACTTATTCAATTCCTCGGCGATAAAAGAGTCTCGAATATCGCCGAAATCGAAGAAAATAAATTCCATTCCGATAATACCTCCGAAATAAGATCATTCATAAAAATACTCAATTTTCAATTCAAACGCTGCACTTTATACCAAATTTGTTACACCACTATACACTTTCGTGCACCCCGACATTCGCCACAAAAACTGAAGAAATCATCGTGCAAAGGAGTCTTCTCCTCACGCCTTGCGACCAGCAAGACCAAATTTTTATCGCGAAGAAAAATAAAAAAACGAACGACGAACTGATAGGAGATTTCGAGGAAAGATGTGCAACGTTGAAATTCGTCAGAAACGACGAAGAAACTCGGATAAGTCGAAAGCAAGCAGAATATTCGCGCGCGAGTGAGAGATTATCGAGGGTCGTTTTTCTCGATACGATCGAAAAGGTGTTCCTTTCGGTTACGCCTGAGATAGTGGCGCGTTTCCGTCGAATTGGTGGCGGTCGGAAGTCGAGAGCGACTCGGGCAACAGCTGCCAGCTGAACCTTTCTTTCGGGGAATTAAAATGAGACCCAGGTTGCCAAAGAAGGGAGCGTCCCTCGACGAAACTCGCTGACCATGGTACACTTCTTCTTTCGACACGGCTCACCTTTTGCCTCCCTAATATTTCCACGTTGCCACGCGATACAATCACGGAATCACGCTCTATTCTTGATCCCCGTTTGTATGTTGCACTTTCGCAATTCCAAATAGTAGCGTACCGTGTGTAGTAGTACACTTTGCGAGTGGTTCATTCATTAATTTTTCGGGCCGCTTATTTTCCTTCGCGTTTCCCCTTTGTCAGGAACGTTCCTCAATGGCGTCTCATCTCGGTTGCACCTGAGGTGGGTGAGGAACGTCGTTACCCTGTTTTCACCTCAATTTATTAAAGTACAAGTGTAGGGTCGGCGTACGATTGGTCCAGAAAATACAATCGTTTACTTTGTTAATTGTCCCGGCGGCAGCGGTTCGGCGGGCACGTCGCGATGGTCGGTAAAGGAACAAACTGTCCGAAGGTGTAGGCGTACTGAAGTAGCGATAGATAAAGATAGAAGTGGAGAAAGTGGTGGAAACGGAAAATTCGTTCGTCCTCGTGCGAACCTGGATGCCACATGTGCGCTTCTTAGGCTACAAGTCTTAACCCGGGGAGAGGCAAAAGAACGGAAACCAAAATCTGAAGGAGTTGGAAGAATAGAACGAGGTTCGGTAAGGGTTTGTTGACGACCACGTACCCGCCACACACCCATTTCTTCCTGACATTCTTAGAATGTAACGATTTAGTTGATTGGTCTAATTTAGTAGCTATTGCGGCTATTATGGCTTCAAAGAGCGAATAAGGTAAAAATGGCAGGAAATTGAGAGGAAATTTCAGTTGTAGCCTCGTAGCTATTTACCGAAGATAATTAGGTGGCTTCTAGAAGATCGTGGCTTTTCGCTGCGGAATCACAAATACCATGTTTCCTTAGTGGCCGATTCTGATCGATCCATCAAGTCTGAATCGAACCGGAAACGAAGACAGCCATCGCGTTAAATTTCTGTTCTCTTCACAAATAACTTTGTGTTTCCTTTTATTAAACTACGTCAAATGAAGAAGGCTCCGGTATCACAATATCGTACGTCTAGAGCATACCCTATGCAACGTTACAAACCCAACGTCGTAAAGATAAAAGACAGATCTCTCCCTTGTAGCACAAAAAGAAGAAGAGAGCTGTATCGCGTTTAAATAAAGAACGCACAAGATGAATGATTAAAAGAAACAGAGCAACCTCGATCTTCCACTTGATGGACAAGACGAAATGAAGCAAAACTGTGCCATCTTCGACGTGCACTTGTACAATGGAAAATAACACGGTTCCCGAACGAGGAACACGCTGGAGAAATGAAATCACAAGGGGGGAAGAAAGAAACGTTGGATGGGAGAAAGATGAAAAATGGGGCGAAACACAAGGGGCTTGTTGTGCGCGCACCGGCTCTCTTTCGAGCTCGTGCTTGTTCTTTTCCAGGCGAAACAATCGGTGAGCAACTAACCCGAAGGACGCTCGTTATGGCACTCGCGGAGGAACGTATGTTCATTACGAAGATACGCGTTATCGCCATTGGAATGCAACGGTTCGTTGGCTGGTTCTTTTTTCGCTGACACAGAGTGCCATTCTTAAAACACCGCCGAATCTCTGTTCGCCGGTGTTCTTGATCGTTCGCGGTATAACGCACGTCGTCGAGGTGTGGCCCGGCGAATCTTTACGACCTGCAGAATCTGCACGATTGTGTAATTAACCGTTTGTGGATTACGTGGAAATTGACACGCGTGTAAGTATGAACGCGCGACGTTCGTTCTCCACGGGGAAGAAATGTCAACGATATCGTTGTTATCTGTATCGAAACACGATCATTTTCCACGATTACTGGGTCAGTTGGTGCAACGATCCGATTTGCCATACGAGTTTCTCCGGTGATTTTTAAAGGGAGACTTGGTAATTCGCAGAAACGAGTAATGTGGAATAATATAGAATTACGACGAATGTGGTTATCTTTCGATGACTAGTCGGGCTGATAAACCGGTTCCAGTAATTATCGTACGAAAGTATTTATTATCCGTCTAGGATGCCATTATTCATACTCCGTTTCAATCGTTCGCGTACACGTGTGGTAGTAGGATAAAATAGAATAGAAGTTATTCTTGGTAAAAGATTTTAATATCTACACGTAGTCGTAGGTAGCAGATAGCTCGAGGTAAAAATTCGTCAAGTCAGCCTAACCTTCGAAACCTGTTATGCCACGTATTCTAAGGAACTGTTATCAAAATCTACTTCATTGTCACGATACAACTTCGACATTTTGTAATCATTTTTTTAAAGGACACTTTCACCAGTTGTCTTTCGATTAATTGTTAAAAATTGTTCGTCTTTGTTGACAGTTTTGCGGTTTGCGCGATTCGTAGTAGTTTGGGAGATTTCAGAGATACTCTACCGTGCAAACGTGGGATGTGATTTACTTCGTTTTAATTCATTTCGTCGAAGTCGATGAAATTTCAAATTTATTTCGAGAAATTCAGAGTTTCATTTTGTCATTCTCACCGAATTCGTTCTTTTTCTACAGTTACTTCCAGTTTTACCGTATTTTAACGATTAAGTTTTGTTCTTTTATTACAGCGATGGTAAATGAACTTAAACTTTCGAGCGGTAGTGTACAATTTTACGATGCAGTAGGCTCACGTTTTCACAGAATGTAATTTTTTATGGTCCCACTCGTGAAACCACAACTGCCTTCACAGTTAACCACGTCAATTACGAGCCAGTTAAAACACACTTCTCTCTCTCTCTCTCTCTCTTCGACGAATCTACGGGACTATTTTTAAAGATTGTTATTCGAATTCACGTGCTGTGGTGTCGTTGGTGATACGGTACACCATACGTGAACGACGTTTCGTTACAAAATAGAGATAACAATTATAGACACGTGTTTCCGTGAACGTCGCGCGATGAATGTGCGGCATTATACTACGGATTCTAAAAATAGTCGTGCTTCATCCCCGTGGAAAGAGGATATCTGTATTAGCCACCGGAAACACTGTAAAGTGGTTTCCGTTTTAGGAACGAATAGCTAAAGGCGACTCAAGGAACGCTACTCGCTCCTTACTATTTTCGCTGGTACGTTTGATCATTGATGGTGGATTAACGATCGTTAAGATTCTTCCGGTTGCTTCCGTGCTGTTCCCACGTTCGATGACCTTTCCTCTTCCGTCGTTCGAGTCTCCGCGCGAGAATGGCGGACTTTCTTCACTGAGAGTTGCGGGGGAAGTGGTAAATTAGAGGCTGAGAGCAGTTTTGGGAAATATTTCTTTTGGTAATCGGTGCAATATGGAGTCCACAAGCTTCTGAAATAATAGTGAAGCTTTCGAAAGTTAATGCATCGGAAAGATACAGAGGCAAAACTTTTGGAATAATAATAAAAAATCCAGAGATTCTCAGAATGAAGATAAATTGGCAAATTAGAGACTAGGGGCAATTTTGAAAAATGTTTCTTTTGGTAATCGGTGCAATATGGAGTCCAGAAGCTTCCGAAAGTTAAAGCATAGGACAAATATAGAGGCAAATCTTTGGAAGAGTAAGAAAAAATCCAGAGATTCTCAAAACGAAGATAAATTGGCAAATTAGGGGCTGAAGGCAATTTTGAAAAATGTTTCTTTCGGTAATCGGTGCAATATGGAGTCCAGAAGCTTCCGAAAGTTAAAGCATAGGACAAATATA